CATATGTGATATTTGATGGAGCTTTCAGACGTGAGGCAAGAACTGGCAGTACAGAAGAGCCACGTGCCACTGGAAAAAATAGCATCGCTCAGCATATGTATCGTGTGTCCCATCCTCAGCGGTACCTTTTCCGTTTTCTCCTGCCGTCTGTCCGAGACAGAGTCACATTGAATGATATGGGAAAATTACGGTGAAATAAATTTACGGTAATTTTGTTCAGCCTTTGAATAAGTAGGTAACAAGTATATAAAGATAAAACGTACGGTTTCTTGCAGGAATCTCGTGCTGGTGTCATGTGGTGGTGTTGGAAGTGGGAGTGCGAGGAAGTTATAGTCAAATAATAAGTGATGGTCCAAACGATAAGTGCAAGCAACAAAATGAAGGTCAGCTCTACAAGAGGCCCTTTCACAAGCATTAGTCGGCGTTTTCATATAATCGTACTTTTTTCTGCCATTGCTGCAACGATTGTGACAAAATTCATATCAGAAGAAAAGAAGCATAGAAAACTTCATAACAGAATCGAAAGACATACCTTTCCATGTTGCTGCTGCTATTTGCTTTATTGGTTATGTGGACATACACAGAGCCCAAAGCAGCTAAAAAGATTACAGGGAAACAGAAAATCAAAAGGTTCACAGCTGCAAGAAAATACTCAAATTAGAGATCTTACTATATATAGCTACATATATCAAAACATTGCAGAAACCCTAACACGATGATGGCACAGAAGCTAAGGGATTTCTATTAAATGAATTACACCTGCCTTGTGAGCCAAAGTAGGTAGAGCTAGTCTTTGATACGATCTCTGAATGCCATTTGCCTCGGTTGGTGTTGGTGGGTCTCATTGTCCACATGAAAATTGAATCCAGGGACACTATGAAAGCCACAACCCTTATAGCAGATTCAAGTCTGCAATAATTTTCGTGGGAAGCTGATGACCGTGCCATTTCTGGAGTCAACGTCTCTCTGTCTATTTGTGTGTGTTTGAAAAGAGTTTTCAGTGTGGGAGAATGCGAGTGGAGTCCTTGTATTTACAGTTTGAGAATCGAAAGCTGAAACATATAATGTGGGATATGATTAGTTGATTTTCATGCAAATTGAAATGATGAAAGCGACATAATCAAGTAGAAAGTTCATGAACTGATGATAATAATAGAAAAAATTAGTAAACAAAATTCACCGAGATTCTGTGAGGCAATGCATGAGGGACATCAGTGTAATTTGACGAAATTCATTTTTGTTTTTCAAACTTGACATATAAATAACTTCTATTGTTTGCCTTTAAATTTGACACCCTGAAAAGTCAACCCTTTGAATTTTCTACTTTGCCCTGAGCGGAAAAAAGTATCTAGCAAGTTAAATGATTGCAAGGCGAAAATTTTCAATTACAAATAGAACACATTTAAATTCTAATGTCGTGCTTGGTTAACAAGAGAAAATAAGGAGAAGAAAAAATGTGAAGAGAGAAAAAAGTCGAGGGATACAATTTTCTCTGCCCATACTTGGATTAGCAAGATAAAATGGGATAAAGAAAAAATTATTAATTTTATATGGACAATAATAACTTTATTATTTATAAAAAAGTATTTTTATATAAAAAATTAAAATTTTAACATATTATTTATATAATTTTTATTATATATTACTGATTAAATAAAAATATAATTGTAAATTCTTTTATTCGATGCTAGCAAAAAACATTATTTTGTCCAATTTTAATTTTACTTCTTAAATTATTTAATATATAATAATATAAATTTTAAAGTGGAAAGCAAATTTGGATGAAAGATTCATGGGTAAGTTTTAAAAGAGTTTTCTCTCAAAAATCTTTTCATATTTAGAAAAAAAAATTGAAAGTAAAAATATATGAATTCCACATGTTATTTTTCTCCCAATTTTCTGTCCCTATCATTTTTCTTTCCTTAGTGAAGGAGGAGACCCACTTTTTTCTCCCACTTTTCCCTTGCCCTTATTTTTTTATCTTGCCAAGCACAGCATAAATGTAATTCTTAGTGTATAGTAATTAATATGAGTATGTTTGTAACTATTTAAATTAATATTTAAAATTTATTTTCTTAAAAAAAATCAACAAAAACCTAACCATTTTCATTCAAGAATTAAATATGCTACGACAAATTGAAAATATGATGATAAATATTTTTGTAATGATAGGAATATTATATTAATAATGCCGACCTCACTTAATTAGCTAAGACATATTTTGTTATTGTTGATACTGAAATAAGTTTCACTAATTTTAAAGCGGACAACAGATGTATTAACATATTGATATAGTGAGAAATACTTAAACAGACTAGGTACGCCACATCATTTATAATCTGTTCAATTAAAATATTTTAAGTAATTTAAATAAAATATTGTATGACATTTTTTAATTAATTTTATTAACAAATGCAGGATTTCATACTTTTTATCTTTTTATTATTATTAATATTAAAATTAATTTATATTTAGTGTTATCTAAATATAATATTTTCATTTGATGAACTACAAATAACGTAATGGCTCGATCTATTTAAGAATCTCTCATGATATAGCATTGATTTCAACTCAATGCTTGACGGTGTTGGTACCCTGCCGTCCAACTCGTTTCTCTAGAGTGTGCACTTGTTTGAAGCATTTATGAATGCGTCATTTATTTAGCTATTGTAAATTTAATGCATATGCGTTTACGGATATTTAATTTTTTAAAAAATAAACTATTTTTCATTATATATAATCTATAAAAATTAGTATTATCCATATTCCTAAAGTTTGTTCTTTGAAAAACAGAATTTTTCTCAAATTGTTTGGGAGTCATATTTTTAACGGTTGAATTTATATATTCTGTTTAAGGTTAATTAGATTTTTTTATGCATTATGGAAGAAACAATAACCTGAAATTTTTAAAAATCGACCCTTTTATAGGTCTCATTCGGACTACACTCCAGGTATTATATATATTTGATTATTTATTGATGGCTCTAGTTAATTATGAAAGCTTTTTAATTTGGTTGGACAATTAATCTAACATAGTTGATGATTTTGGTTCATTGACCTTAAATTCGGCCTGTATGACAAGGATATGGATAAATATTATCCAATTCGTACATATGTTCTTTTAAATTAAAACCAGTCGGATCACAATTAAACTATGGTTCAACTGCTAGAACTTGAATTAGTGCTTTCACTCCACAGTTATGAAAATATTGGTTTACTTATACTTGTCCTTGGGCAAGAAGCATATATACGGTTTTTGGCTTCTCCATTTTTTTGCCATGATGAATCCCAAATCGTAAGCATATGAAGGCAGGCTTGGGATTCAATCTTGCATACTCATAAATATTAAAGAAGTGATCGTGACAGATCAAATACACTACTCAGTTCTCTATTCTTCGTTCACTTTGCTGTTACCTTTTTTTTTTTTTTAAGATTTAACAAAAAAGAGTAAGGGATATTAGATGAGGTAACGTGCATTTTAAAGGCCGAAGCCCGCAAGAAATAGCTGGACCTAAGCCCAATGATATTAAATAGCTCGACCCGACCCATATAATGTTAACCTTAAACATATGTTCATTGCTTCTCTACTAGATGAGCTTAAGCTAGAATTACATATGGCTATTAATGCACTATGGAGGGATATGTCTCAAATATCTCTTAGAGAGATCTATCAATTAGTTCTATTTACTTTGAATAAGCAATATGTGAAGGGCAGCAACATTTGAAATCCATGCTCAAAAACCGTATTTGAAGATTAAATGTAAGGAGCATGAGATATGCTCTTGCAAAAAAAAAAAAAAATAGAGCCATTTTCACAATTATAAACACAGATCCTTCAAGCCTAAAAGGCATCCTATGAGATTTAAAAAAAAAAGGACTTCAAGATTAGAGAGGTCAAATAGATGTTTCATCTATAAACAAAAAGGGCATTTTGTCCAAAAAGAATATCCTAACAAATCCAAAAAAAGATAGAAATTACTTTTTAAGGTCTCCTAGCACATCATAATTAATGTCTTACCTGAATATTTTTAAATGTCATTTCGTCTAAATTCAATATATGTATAGTTGGAAGATGGCTATTTCCCGAGAAAATGTTGGGTTTGTTCATGAATAAAATTTCTCATTGCCCTTCTCAAAAATGGTTATACAATAACAGAAATAACAAATTAATTATTAAAAATATGATTCCATTTTGACAAACTCACTACAACATTTTTTGTTTTAGACAGCAGTTTTATTTGCAACAGTTCTAAAAGTGTTGTTTAATATGATTATAAGCAATAGTTTTGTATGTTGTTATTGATCCTCTACTTTAAACAACACATTTTTAGCAACATTTGAAAAATATTTCTTAAAATAGAGTATGCAACAATTTTCAAGTGTTGAAATAAAAGTATTAAATAGACAACATAAAAATGTTGCTTATAAAAGTTATTTAATGGTAACATTTCAAAATTGATCTCTATTCTAATAGGCAACAAAAATATAAATATTCCTATAAATTTTCTTTCGGGTAACATTTAAAAACAATTGCTTATTATTTTTCTTTACATAAAAGTTATTTTTTATTTATTTGTATAATTTTATATAAAATTTTATTTATATACTCTCTTAATTGTTCAATTTGTTATTTGGATAGATTTAAAAAATTAATTTAACAATTATATATAATTAATATATGTATATATGTATGTATGTGTAATATTTTGCATTATAATATTAATAAGTTAATTTAAAGAGTGGTTAAAGTCACTCATTTCTTTCAAGAGGTTTAGGTTCGAATTTTAGATAGAGAAAAAAATATTAACATTTAACCTTTTAACTATTTTGCAATAATTTTTAAATGTTACATATTTTATATAATAAAGCAACATTTTAAAACTGTTGCAACAGGCCTCCTAAAAATTATTGTCTATTTTCATAGTTTTAGACAACAATTTTTCAAAAGGTATGGCTAAAGATAATAAAATTATTGCTTAAAATAATAAATAACACTCAAGTTAAGAAAATTTGAAATATTTTTCAAGCTTGTAGCAACACTTTTAAATTGTTTCAAGATAACAAAAAGCTGTAGTGTAATTATTTAGACCCGCTTCATATCAAATGAAAGCAACAGGGTCCTTATGTATGTCCGCTTATTGGGTAAGCTAAGATCTACAGCAGCTATAATGAAGATTCTTTGCTGAACCAGAAGAGCAAATTGTACTTATAGAATCACCAACTAAAGCTAATGGACTCAAAATGAAGATTCTTCGCCGAACCAGAAGAGCAAATTGCTGCAACCTCTTGCCTCATCTTCCTCGGACCTGAAACAAGAACTCCCACGCTTGACTTATCTTTGTGTTCTAGAATTCTTCCTGCATGCATCAACAAAACAGTTCGGTGATCTTTCAATTTCAATGACAAACAGATACCCAAGTAGACCCAACAGAAGATGAACAACTTACTTTTGAGGTCAGGTCTTTCACCGTAGTGGACATTAGTAGCTTCAACGACAGACTGATGAGGAAGGCTTTCCAACTCTCTATCTGCATTGAAAGTCATCGAAGCTGGTGACACAGTTGGCGTTGTCCCTTCCATGTTCTGGATCTTCGTGGCTTCTTTACCATTCTGCTTCTTGTTCCAAAGAAATGCTGCGCTAGCAGTTACGCTTATAGCCAAACATATCACCAACATGTTCAGGAATGACTTCAAAGGGTATGAGAATTTCTTGTTCGTGTTATGATCAATAGGATAAATGCAATAACGGTCTATGATCCCAATAATGACAAGGTACAGCACGAAAGAGGATGAGATAATAGCAGCGAGCCAGAGCCAGTGGTTCGGACCCAATACAGCAGACATGGGTGAATCAGATGGATGTGGCTTGAACCATATGGCTCGAAGAGGCTGATGATTAGGGTTATCTGGTTTACGTTCTTTCTCTCTCGTGATAAAAGCATCTATTTTCAGGTGAATGTTGGAAATATCAGAGTGGGTGCCGGATAAGGGAAGGATCAGGTCTAGCATTGAGAGAGATGAAGAGTTCTTGAATGCACAAATGAGCACAACTGTTGGGGCTGTGGATTTGAATGTTGTGCTCTGATACATTAGCTCGCGGATGATAGAGATGAAAGGGGTGATCCCACTGCCTCCACTAACCATCACAAGGCTGTCATATCTGCTTCAAGACAATATTTCAGAGTGAATGGAAAATAAATTGAGAAAGGTAGTCGCCACTTTAAGCAACATCACTTCATATTGATGTGGATATTGGTTTATATAAATTTATCTTAAAATGATTTTACGAACCTGAGATAATTGGTTGAGGCAGGTCCATAAGGGCCTTCAACGGAAACATTGAGACGATCTATTGAAGAAGACGACAGCATTTGGTATAACTTCTGGGACCAACTTCCTTCGCTTTTGATCACAACACTGAGCTTCTCAGGCTCCAAGTTACTATTCGAAGTAACAGTAAATGGATGCCATTGCAGGTGAGATATGCTCGGTACATTAATGAATATAACACTCGTGGGATTATAAGTCAACCCTGCAAAAAACCAAAACATAAATAAAAAATAACCTACTGCGATGATTAACACTACGGAATATATTCTGAACGTACGTGTTATATATGCAAGTATCAAACACGGGCAATACCATACTTAACAGAAAAGCCTTAATTTGTATTTGGTGGATTCGATTAATATATAGTAGTTACCGTGGGTCTTGGACAAGTTGAGTTCTAGGGAGTCACAAGGCAAGAGACGAGCAGAAAGCAAGCGAACATGGCGTCGTGACTGAAGAAATCTGAGGAAACGATCGAGCAAGAAGAGGTAGAAACCAGGCAGCACAATAAAAGTAGTATTCATGCCCACATGGAAGACGAAGAAGACAACGAAGACGATGTAGAGATAGTGAGTGTAGAAGAACACCTCGAAAGCTTTTCTTCTTATACGAGGCAGAGTCACAATCCACAGCACCAACCCACCAACCAGAGATATCTCTCCTGCCAAATTTGATACCCCAATCTTGTCCCATTTCAGCATCTGCATGCACACCATCATAACCAAACCTATCAATTCTCAGATTTAAAATCTTTCCAGAACCGATCATTTGAAGCGTTGAGTTGTAGTATATATATAATTAACCTCAGAAAGTTGATGGGTGGTTGCCCAGTAGATGACGTAAAGGGCACCATGAAGAGTGAAGAGAGTCATGGTCATGTGGCCAAGCCATATGTGATATTTGATGCAACTCTCAGACGTGAGGCCGAGCAGTGGCAGGACGGAGGAGCCACGTGCCACCGGAAAGAACAGAAACGCCAGGAATATGTTCCCCACTAATCCAATCCTCAGAGCTGCACTTTCCAATTCCTCTTGCCATCTGTCAAAACCACCGTGACATATAGAATGATTAAATGTAATAAGTAAAAATAGAGGAGTAATTTTGTTAGTTTTTAATGTGTGTGTTCATATATATATATATGTATGTATGTATGTATGCATGTGACGAGTACAAAAGTGGGTACACTTTGTCGCCGGACTTTGCTGCTGATGCCTTGGTGATTTGGGAGAAACCGTTGATCAAATACTCAGAAAGGGACCAAACGAGGAGGGCTATGAACATAACAAAGAAGGCCAGCTCTACTGTGGACACAATTCCCAGAGGGCCTTTCACCAGCATTGGACGTTTCCATATGATCTTGTATTTTCCTCCATTGGTGCTGCTGCATTTAAGATTGTGCCACAACTGTGATATATCAGAAGTTTTACGGTACATAAAGAGAGAGAGAGAACATAGCATGAGAGAAGCTTCGTAGTCGTAATCAAATTCAAATGGTACCTTTTCATGTTGATGCTGTCATTTGCTAATTTTCTGGCTATATGGACATACACACTGCCCAAGACGGCTATGAATAACACAGGAAAACAAAAAATTAAAAGATACGCACCTGCGAAAAAATGCTAAAACATGTTAGTGCCTATACAACAACATATAAATGAAAAGAAGGATTCAGGAAATCGTGAACGTTGATATTATATTGAATGAATAATGAGACCTTGCGAGCCGAAGTAGGTAGATCTAGTCTCTGACGAGACCTTGGGAGCCCATTTTAAATAGAAGGTGTTGGTGGGCTTCATTATCCAGAGGACGATCCAACCCAGAAACACCACGAAAGCCAGAAGTCGTATGGCAAATTGAAGTCTGAAAAATTGTTCGAGTGAAGGTGACCTCTTCACCATTTCTGGTGTCATCATTACTTCTCTCTAGCTCGCTCTTTGTTTGTTTGATCAACAAGGCAAGTGTTTGGAATTGTATTGGGAAGAGTTTTGGGTGCGGGAGAAGTGAGTGGAGTTTTGGTATATATATAGTTGAGAATTGAAAATTGAAATTACAAAGTGGGGTTTGATTAATCCACAATCTTATACAAAATTGAAATTATGAAAGGGACACTAAGAAGGAAAAGAAGCATGGCTCGTGAACTTTTTGGAATGTGAAAAATCAATAAATAATTCATCAAAGATTTGGTGGCACAATTCATGTAGGACTCCCATTTCATGAGGGACTTCATCATCGCAATTTGACATATTTGTTTTTTTAGTTACAGAAAATGACACTTAGATCTTACAAAATTATTTTAATATCTGTTAGATCTTAAAAATTTTTATTAAAAAATGATTTGTAAATATTAATCATAACAATATTACAAAATATAAATTATTGAAACTAACCTGTGAAACTTAAATGTCCTATTTATCACTATTACTCTTATAGATATCTAAATGAGTAAATGTTTCTTCCAGTATATTTTACCTAAACTAAAAAAAATATTAAACCTTATTAACTCTATTTTAAAATTTAATAAATTTTTGCTCTACCCCTAATAAAGAGAATTATTTGTAATAATTTTTTTAACGTTTAATAAAGATAAAAAAGTAAAGATAAACATAAAAAAATGGTAAGTACCATATAAATAAAACAAAAAAATTAACCATTTCTTTCTTCCTATAAATAGGATTAAGAGGAGCATTGTTTTTAGAAAATTTTTTAGAACTAAATCATTTTTTTATAAAGAGAACTAAATCGTTATTAAATTGATTTTTTTGGGTTTAACCGTTTAAGTGTCATTTTATTGTTTTCTATCTTTTTTGGGCATTTGACATGAATTTTTTAAGCCATTAAATCTGACATAACTTGAAGGTCAAACATCGCAGTTTTGCAACTTGTCCCCAGTGAAAAGAGGCATGAAAGGATGAGGATTAATTAATGACGTCATACGGGGCAAATATAATAAAATATTCTTTAATAATCACGGGAATATTCTATCTACATATGGAGTATGCTCGAAGTTTCACGCTTTCGTTTATTTTTTTGCGATCAATTTCGCTTATTTTAGTTTGTATGATTTTTTTGATAAATGTGGCCGTAGTGAGACATTCATTATGTTAATTTAATTATTTGCGATATTTTAAATTACTAGTTAATATTATTTATATTTTTTAAAATTTTTATAACATAAAGACTATGATGCCATTAATTAAAATTATTTATTATGTTTAATTTTCATGCCATTTATTTTTAATCATTTGTACTCAATATTCAAAGTCCTTAAAAAATTTAAGAAATTTAAATGAAATATAGTCCCGATGGATTGACTAGTCTTTTTTATTCAATTTTAAATTCAATTGGATGACTTTCTTATTAAAAATAATTATTGTAAAGTTTTCAAAATTAATAGTGTGGGAGCATGCAAGCTCCTCGTGTCTCTCTAAAAGTTTACTTGGGAGTTGGGTCTGCATCATGTGCAGATGTTGTAAATTACCAACGTGGCATCTTTGCGGGGCCCAGAGGGGCAAAAAACGGATATCAGAGTCAACTGCACATCAATTTAGGTTGATTTATATTAAAATTATTACTTATACAAATTAAGAGTTATTATTAATGAGTCAATTATTAAAAGTCATCAATCAATTACTAAATGGGTATATTTTAGAAAAGAATTTTGCATTTATGGAATCCAGCTAATCAAGCTACATTTTATTTTATCCTTGAGGAGTAGTTATTTGTCTCTGAAATTACTAAAATTTATTTTTTTAATTATACTTTATCTTTTTCATACCTTTATATTCCACCTAACAAACTTTCCCTCAATTTTTAGGGAGATCATATTGCTGAAATGGGGGTGTCAGTTGTTTTGGTTAAGGATAGGATTTGCTTTCAATATATATAAGAAAAGGATTGTGTGTTGCAGCAAACAAGCAAGGCTCAAGGAAACGTCCAAAGCGTAAAAGACACTGCGATGGGAGATTTCGTGAAACAATATTATTCTTTTTTTTTTGGGAGAAATAAATAAAAGAAAACAGTCAGAACAGAAAGATATATCAATAGCTAGCACTCAAAAGGAATGGTCTCCAAAAGCAGGATGGGAGCACCAGTATCCGAGTCGATCCGCAGAATGAACATGCATGATGGAAATCAATGTCATCTAATTAAGTTACTGGTATGATGCATTGAATCTGCCTAATAAAGTCCGTGAAAATGGAGAAAGAACAGAAAGAGCAGTATATTATAGCCACCAATTCCGCCATAGTTTGAATCCCAGTACCCACTTACCCTATGAATCACGTATGACACCACCGCATGCGCCATCTTCGTCCACCATATTATTCTGTGTCCACCGTTTTGCCTTACTCCTTCAAAGTTGAAGTATTTTTTTATACCCTTACTTTATTTATTATGTAAGTTTTTAAAAAATAATATATTAAAATTTCAATTATCATTATAATTATTTTTTAATTTGTATTTCTTTAAACTTATATCATATATTTAATAAAGGTAATAACATATCATTCCAAAGATGTGGAAATTTTTAAGTGATCAATATTTACCTAACTTTATTTTAAAACTGTAAAATGGTTATCAATGTTCTATATTATGATGGGAGGAGTAGTTCTCCATCTCTATGTGATACTTTCTCTCTTATCTTATATATGTGTTATTTTTTAAAAACAAATTGATTGATAGTTTTCTTTTTAAGTCATTTTATGTAAGAAGATAAATTATTAGTTATTTTCTTCTAATTTTATCTTTTTATAATTTTCTATGAGAAGAAGTAAAATTTTACAATGAGAGAAAGTGTTTTTAAAAAATAATTACATTTAATAATTAGAGTAAATTGAGAAATTTCTTTTTAAGGCAGCATCAATAATAATTTAATTATCTTTCTTCAATTTCAGTAAAGTAAAAATGACTTATTATATATAACTCTAGATAAAGTGCAAAATTGTATATAAAGTTACATATATGACAGTACATTCTTTACGTCGGCAACAGCTGCAACGTAAAGAGCACTGTAGAATCACCAGCTAAAGCTAATTGACTCGAAATGCAGATTGTTAGCTGAACCAAAAGCGCAAATGGCTGCCACCTCTTGCCTCATCCTCCTCGGACCTGATACAAGAACTCCCACACTTGACTCATCTCTGTGTTCAAGAATCATTCCTGCAAAATCAACAAAACAGTTCAGCGATCTTTCAATATAATATCAATGGCAGACAGATGCCTGGGTAGACCCAACGGAACATGAACAACTCACTTTCGAGGTCAGGTCTTTCACCATAGTGCACATTAGTAGCTTCAACAAGGGACCGATACGGAAGGCTTTCCATTTCTCTATCTGCATTGAAATTCATCGAAGCTGGCGACACATTTGGCGATTGCCCATCCATGTCCTGGATCTTCGTTGCTTCTTTCGCATTCCGCTTCTTGTTCCAAAGAAATGCTGCACTAGAAGTCACGCCTATAGCCACACATATCGCCACCATGTTCAGGAATGACTTCAAAGGGTACGAGAACATCCTCGTCGTATTATGATCAACAGGGTAAATGTAGCAACGGGTTATGATCCCAATAATGACAAGGTACAGCATGAAAGAGGATGAGATTATAGCAGCGAGCCAGAGCCAATGGTTCGGACCCAGTACTGCAGATATGGGCGCATCAGTTGGATGAGGCTTGAACCTTATGGCTTGAAGATGGTGAATAGGGTTATTATTATCTGGTTTAGGCTCTTTCTCTCTCGTGACAAAAGCATCTATTTTCAGGTGAATGTTGGAAATATCAGAGTGGGTGCCGGTTAAGGGAAGGATCAGGTCTAGCATTGAGAGAGATGAAGAGTTCTTGAATGCACAAATGAGCACAATTTTTGGGGCTGTGGATTTGAATGTTGTGCTCCGATATATTAGCTCGCGGATGATAGAGATGAAAGGGGTGATCCCACTGCCTCCACTCACCATCACAAGGCTTTCAAATCTGGTGAGCATAAAAAGAGAGAGAGAGAGAGAGAGAGAGAAATGAATTGAGAATGAAGAATATCATCACTAGTGCCAAATCAAACGTTAAAACCAAAACTGATAGTCCAATGAGTTGAGCAAACCTGAGGTAGTTGGTTGAGGCAGGTCCGTAAGGGCCTTCAACGGACACACTGAGACGATCTATTGAAGAAGACGACAGCATCTGAAATAACTTCTGGGACCAACTTCCTTCGCTTTTGATCACAACGCTGAGCTTCTCTTCCTCCAAGTTGCTATTCGAAGTAACCGTAAATGGATGCCATTGCAGGAGCGATAAGCTTGGTATGTTAATAAACATGACACTTGTTGGACTATAAGTCAATCCTGCGTATTAAAAAGGATTAGAAGAAGGCACTGTGATGAACGCTGGTTTTGGCTCCTCTGTAGACAATAGGTTACCCAACAGATCTAACTAAAAAATTCACTTTTTTCTGGTTATATATAAATCCAAAATAAGTTCTAGTGAGTGGGAAATAGTATTCAATTACCATGGGTCTTGGAGAAGTTGAGTTCTATAGATTGACAAGGCAATAGACGAGCAGAAAGCAATCGAACACGGCGACGTGATTGAAGAAACCTCAGGTAACGATCGAGCAAGAAGAGGTAGAGACCAGGGAGAACAATATAAGCGTCATTAATTCCAACGTGGAAGACGAAGAAGACGACGAAGATGATGTAGAGATAGTGAGTGTAGAAGAACACCTCGAAAGCTTTTCTTCTTATACGAGGCAGAGTCACAATCCACAGCACCAACCCACCAACCAGAGATATCTCTCCAGCCAAATTTGATATCCCAATCTTGTCCCATTTCAGCACCTGCACACTCACCATAGCCAAACCTCTCAATTCTCAGTTCTAAAATCTTTCCAGAACCGATCATTTGAACCGTTGAGTTGTAATATGATTAACCTCAGAAAGTTGATAGGCGGTTGCCCAGTAAATGACGTAAAGAGCGCCATGAATAGTGAAGAGAGTCATGGTCATGTGGCCAAGCCATATGTGATATTTGATGCAACCCTCGGACGTGAGGCCGAGCAGTGGCAGCATGGAGGAGCCACGTGCCACCGGAAAGAACAGGAACGCCAGGCATGCATTTCCCACTAGCCCAATCCTCAGAGCTGCACTTTCCAATTTCTCTTGCCATCTGCTAGAATTCGAAGGAAGTGATGGATGCAATTTAATTCCCTATTTAATACTCCTCCGGCATTTATCATACTCGTCTCAAATTATAGGACACTTTTAAAAGAATTTCTCTGTCCCAAAATATAAGACACTTTGAATAAATTAAGATTTCATTAAATGCACTAATTTTAATATTATCTTTTCTCTTTCTATAATTAATTTTCATCCATTCTCTTTTCAATGTATTAAATGATGAGTATTTTTGAAGGTTTATATTTTTATTTTGAAAAGATAAAGTTATTAAACGTATTTAATGAGACTTATTGATATGTAAGATTTTATTTAAAAGTGTTTTATAATTTAAGATGGAGAGAGTAGCATACTTTCAAATGTTCTAAATATTTTGAAAAAAGTTTAATTTTTTTCTTAATATTATAAAAAAATAATTTAAAGTATCTTCAAAAAAAATTAATTTTTTTATATTATAAAAAATAAGATATATTTTTATTTTTACTCTTAATTTTAAATAATAATATAATTATATTAAATGTTTTCATATTAATTAATAAAAAATAAAATTAAAAAAATAATTTAATTATTGAAAGATGTCTTATATTTTAAATTAAAAATTATTTTTAAAAAGTATTTTACAAATAGAAGGTAGGGAATCAACCAGGATCCAAAAAAAAAAAAAAACGGTCGTACACTTTGTGGCCAGATTCTGCTGCTGATTCCTTGCTGATTCGGGAGAAACCAGACTCCAAATAAGAAGAAATCGACCAGACGAGGAGAGCAACGAACATAACAAAGATGGTAAGTTCTATCATCGACACGATTCCAAGAGGGCCTTTGACCAGCACCGGGCGCTTCCATATGAGGTTCTTATTTTTTGCGCCGTTGCTGTCGCCGAGATCGAGCAAAAACATGTATCAGAAGATAAACACAGAGAGAAAGTGAAGAAGCGTGTGAGAAAATTCAAAAGCGGAATAGTACGTTAACACCGGAACAGTACATATGGTACCTTCCCATGTTGATGCTGTTGGCTTTTTGGGCGATGTGGACATACAAACAGCCCAAAACGGCTATGAATAATACAGGAAAACAAAAAATTAAAATATTTGAACCTGCGAGAAATACTCAAAAATGTGAGTATATAACACACATCAAAAGATGAATTCAGAAAGTGCAAAAGATGAGACCTTGTGAGCCAAAATAGGTGGAACGAGTCTGTGATGCGAGTTGGGGGCGCCATTTTAAATAGAAGGTGTTGGTGGGTTTCATTATCCAGATGAAGATGAAACCCAGGAACACCACTAAAGCCAGAAGCCTTATTGAAGATTGAAGTCTGCAATATTTTTCAAGGGAAGCCGACCTCTTCGCCATTTCTGGAGCCATTTCAAGCTAAGCGGCGCTGTGGGCTGTGGCAAGCGTGCTTTTGAGAGAATTAATGCTCAACGTGGGAGAATATTGTGTGTGAAATTTCGGTATTTATAGTTGACACTAATGGTGTCCTCACGGATTTGGATCTGCAGTCATTCGCTTTATTATTATATTTTTTTTCCTATTTTAATGGTGTCAGATTGCTTATTATAACATTAAAATAAATAAAAAAATTATTTACTATTAAATATTTTTTAAAATCATTAAATGAATAGTATGTTTATTTTAATATTTTAATTAGCAATCCCACACTATTAAATTAAATAAATATAATTAAGTGAATGAATGGAATTAGATATGAAGATATGTATTGAGAAAGGCATGGAGATGATGTAAATGGATTTGTCCTGTCATATCTAAAAGTTGGGTTTTTCTCTTTTTCGTAAACATAGTTTGAAAGAGTTGGATTTTAGGGACAAAGTTGGGCCCTTGACTAAAAAAAAAAAATCAAACGGCTTAAATTTTATTGTATTCTATTTTTAATTTTTAGATTTTTTTTTGAATTTTAACAGCAGCGGAGATTTAAAAAAAGAAAAGAAAAGAAAATTTTTACCTGTCAATGTTTGAAAAACCAAAATTTAATATTTATAATGTCAAAATTAAATTTAAATGATTAGGTTCTCTTTCTAGTTTCTGGACAATGAACAGAAAGCTCATCAGATTCAGGTATAATTAATTGGCTGTCATAAAAATTGAAATTCCGGAAGGGGCAGTAATGAGAAGGAAAAGAAGCATGCAGGGTTCATGGACTGTTAATTGGAATGTAAAAATTAGTAAATAATTCACCAAAGATTTGATGGAAACAAATTGATGATATATTCATACAGGACCTCAATGTAAATTTTGACGTAATTTGTTAGCAGTTTTTCAAATTTGACAATACTCTCTCTAATCTTATTTATAAAATTGAAGAATTTTTTTGATCCAATCTATAAGTCTTATCATTAAATTTTTATTATAAATTTTTTATTTTACCCTTCATTAAATGTTAAAGAAAAAAATATACTATTAAAATATATATATTTAATAGGAGTAAAGTTGATAACTTCTTAAAATTTAAAATAAAGTTAATAATTTTTAATTTCTTTTAATATTAATAAAATATATTAAAAATAATTTATAAATAACATGAGATATTATTTTTTTGAAGCCCTTAAATTGACGTGAGTTGGAAGGTCAAACCTCTTAGTTTTGTGATTTTCCCCAATTTAAAAAAGGCATGAAAGAATGAGGAGTTAATGACGGCACATGGGGCAATGGGGCAATTATAAATATAATAACAAATCTTCTTTCATAATGATCAGAACATTCTATATCCCCCCTCTTTATCTTTTTTTTTTTTTTTTTGCAGGTAAGCAAAACCATCACTCGCTTTTTTCTTATTTATTATTAAAAGTACATATTTTAATAAATATTTATTATAATTTTTTAAATCATTTCTCATAATTTTTATTTATGAGAAACAATTAATACAGTCTTATTTTAATTAAATAAAAAGATGTTTTTGTTTGATTTTTTTATTTTCAAATACAATTATTATAATAATTAATTTTCTTAAATTGTGTGATCTAATTATTTTCTTTTGTATGTAGAAATGGACTCTACATAGCCTAGACATGTTTTTCATAGAATGAGATTAACATGAATACCGTTTCCAATATATAAATAATATGCTTTATAAAAGATTTGATAATAAGTACACTCTTATGATCATGAACAATGTAGCCCATTTTTCATAATTTGTATGCACTAGTTACGTATTAAAAAGTTTGTTGACCGAAAAAGTTATGCAGTAAAAACTTTCATTCATTTTATTTTGTGTAATGTTTTTAGTAGAGAACGTTCAAATTTGACTGGTGAGGTATTTAACTATTTATACAATTTACATCACATGCAATGATTATTAGTTCGATCTACATCTGTTCAGACATTGATTGGTTATTTTGTTTTTAACTTTTTTTTAAAAAAATGTGTTAATGTTTTTCAAAATTAAATTTCGCATTTATTTTAGTTAAAAATAAACGTCGCAATCACCATAATACAACAAAGTTATTACTATTACTAATATATGAAAAATAAATATACAGGAATGAGAATTATCTGATTTAAATGAGGTAAATAAGATAATATTATTACTAAGTAAATTATTAATTTCTTGCATAATCTAAATTATGAAATTATTATTAAAAAATAACTTGATTGGAATGGAATAAAATTTATTGAAACACAAAAAAAAAAAATTAATTATCGGAAGAACCGGTCTCGTCCAAAGATAGTGTAGTAGCAAATTCTAGTAGCATGCAAATTGCTAAGCAAGCCCCTCGTGCCTCTTCGAGAACCAATTTCCGAAAAAGGATGGTGTGTTGCAGTAAACAACTTCCAGATTTTGAATGCGATACTTCGTGAAGCAATGTTACATATATGTCCATATATCTTCAACTCTTGGGATATTTTATAACTCGTAATTTGAGTCCACTTCTATATGTAAATTCAATACTTAACTCAGTGACAATTAGAATGAAAAATATCCATATTAAGCCCCACAATGAATAACACAAGGCCTCACAAACATGCCGCAGAAGGCAGAACAGTGCCCAGTCATTGTTGAAGACTTGTGAAGCCAACTACAATAAGTTGACTCTGTATTATACGTGCCCATGAATGTACTCTATCTACGCAAGGCGATGGAGTAAAATCATACTGTTCAGTTTTCTCTTCTCCCCTGTCTTCTTTCTTTGTTTCTTTCTTTCTTTCTTGATATATCAGCAAGGTTTGAATACCATCATCAACTATCTTTCTGATCAGCATGCTTTTGTAATTTACCTGATGTGCACTTTCATCCTTTTGTCTCATTCCCTTTGTTTTCTTTTGGCCTAAGTCTTGTTCCCCATCGAACCGCACATGTTCATTCCTGCAGATTATCTTTTATCTGTGTACAGAAGAAACCCAATTCCGTCGCTATACCATAATTTGGCAATTACTCAAACAAATATATCATCTCGCCTTTCTCCACTTCTCTCTTCCTCTATTAATCAGATCTATCAAATTTTAATAATTTTAATTTTTTTATTCATTTTACATTTGAACATGTCCACAGTACTTCTATAAAATTTTAAATCTAATCCGCTTAAATCTAATCTGAACAATACAGATTCAACAAAAAGAAAGATTTTTCAGATTTAAAAAACTCTTAACTTGTATGTCGAACTTTCATATTTTTCAGATCTTTGCCCGCCCTATTCTCAGTCGTCCTCAATTCTCATCCTCGATCTGAATGCATAATATTTAAATAACATTTTGAACCAAAGAAGAGAACGACAAACTTCAGTTTGAACTAATAATATTTCAGATTGAAACCACTCATACTTCTCAAGCAAGATTTTTTCAAATAATGCTTTCTCTTCATAAATATTATGGAAAATCAAAATTCAATTGCCAGATTCTGAAGGAGGGCAGCAGCAAATTTATTTGAACTAACAGTCTAAGGGATAGGATGTCCAACTAAGCTGCAAGAGTAATTGTCCATGCACCTAGATATAGAATTATAGAAAGTGTGAAATAGTGCTTCGTCTTCTTCAGGTTGAGCATGCTCATGTAAACTGAACATTGCTCTACAGTTTATTCAACAGAATTTGGTCCAAGACTATTTTAAAATAATCTGGAGGCATCCACAAAAATAACTTTACATCAAAGTTTCATACCTATTTTCAAACGTCACAAACAAAAGATACAGGCATACAGCTTCAGACGAACAGATACAAAGTAACTAGAGCCAAGAGTTAAGCCTTACAGCATGGTATATATTATACACAAGCGAAGCAATTTAGGCACAGGATGATACTCCCTAACTAGAGTACGTTTTGCAGAGAATTAAGGTTCAAAGCAATGTTATATGTTCAGGTTTACAAATCCCACTATTCCTTAAAGGCTTAAGGTGCAAAGCACTCCCTCCTCTTTCCTCTTCTTCCTCATCCAGTTATCCTACTCGTAGTCACCAGGATCCGCTGACATTTTACACACAACTTATTTTCTTTCGGAATGAAAAGTGCTTATCTTAGCATGATCCTCTGAAATATCCACCGGCAACCTTGACCATGGGAATGAATCCCTTGATCCAAGTATCCTCCTACGAATCACCAAGGATATGCTTAATACAATGCATACAGCAGCCACCAAAGTAAGGAAAAGCCCTGAATTCCCCCTTGACCAGCTTTTCAGAATGAAACCAGGACAAACCTCTCCATCAAGACTGTTGTGAGAATTGTTCAGTTTCATAACCTCAATTCCATTCAAGATGCCATCAACTACATATGGGATGCTTTTATTTGAGGATCCTATGTTGACACTCAAAGTCCCCAAGCTGTCTGCATCAACAACAAAATCAGCATAAAAGGGCGAAGCCAGTAAACCTGTAATGGAAGAAAGATCCAAATCTGCATATGCTAAATGCCCGTCGACATAAACATTGAAGTACAGCAACCCAATCGAAATACTAGCAATGTCGCAGAAGTGCATCCGAATAAGATATTTATATCCCCCAACGACTGGAAATTCCCAAGTCATATTGACCCTAGGAACAGAAGCATTCTTACTTTTGATCAGCCGGGCACTGTTATACATATTGTCAGGCCCAACTTCACGGCTCGCACCTCCTCTTTGATACCTGATCCGAGGCCCAACTTCACGGCTCGCACCTCCTCTTTGATACCTGATCCGACCCCCGAAGTACAATCTTTGACATTCAGAGTTGGGCTTGAAAAACCCATCATCAGGCATCCATGTCCTCCACAAGGAATCATTAAATGGAGTGACTTTAGGACCCCCAACATTCAACCTGTACACAACCTCAAGTGCTTGGTTGCTTAGACCATCAAAAATCACTATATTCTTCGAACTCACATACTGTGCAGTATCAGGCACAAGGTCTTTCGGAGCAGAGATCACCTCAATAGCATTCACAAATGCAAATTTTGAATTTTCAGTTGGAACAAACATCACCACAAGCTTTTCAGCATCAACCCTTATTAGATACTCCATAATCCTAGGGTTTTCAGAACAGGCTCGGCTAAAATTGCTCATAACGACAAACCCATCAACCAAAACGTGAAATTGAGCATCACACAGATCGAATCCAGGAGAATCAAATGCATTAAAGTGAAGACGTACCATGTGGGTTCCTTTGTCTCGGATGGGGAATGCGTACTTCGAAGGGCTTCTGAAAATCCTAGCCGTGTGGTAGATCGGGGCCAAACCCGGAGCAAGGTTTTCATTTCTCAGCGAAATCGAACTACCGGAAAACGACAAAGGCGAATCGTTGCTGGATAGATCACCGACGAACCGACGGTTGTCTACAGTGCTCACGGCCTCGGAACCGCAGTCGATGAGATAGTTGTCGAGGGGAGAGAGGAGGTGGGAATACACGGCAAGCGTGCGGAAACAAAGCAAGAGGAAACAAGGTACGAGGTTCAGCCGCAGAAACTCCATGATCGAGAGCTCGGAGAGAGAATTCAGAAGGCGAAGAACAGAAGTCAGCAGATGACTTTTCTACGTTCTCATCAATTTTCAGCAGCAATTGGAGGCGAGGTGACGAAGACCGATTCAGAGTGCCAATACGTGTGGGTCCTACTCCTACGCGCTCAGACTGTCAGACAGACTGTAAACCACACCGTCGATCTGTAATGGCATCATGAATTCATGATCTTCTTCAGTCGGGTACACAGCGGTAGTTTCGCGCAATGCATTTCCCATAACTGGATTTTACATCCTCATGCAATGCCAGGAATTTTTTTTTTATACCAATTTTTTATAAATTATTTTTATTAATTTCATCGATGTTAATATAACAAAATATCAAAAATAAAGTATATAAAATTTTAAATATATTCTTATATAATAAAATTAAAAAATAATATTATATTACTTTTTTCTTTTTTCATGAAAAATAATTATAAAAATATTTTTTAAATATTATTTAAAAAATATATCATAATTTATAAATAAAATTAAGTAAATTTTTTAAAATATAATTTATAAATAATATTAGAGGAGTGTAAACCAATTGAAGGAAATATTAACCTTTTGTTCTTTTTTTTTTTGCCAACCTATTTTTTTATTACTCAAAATATTGTAGGTCAGCAATAGACTTTTTTTTTTTTGGCCATATTAACCTTTGTGTTTAGTTTCCACCGCAAAGGGAGAGGAGAAAAGGTGAGGGAGTATTTTAATGGGTTTAAATTAAAAAAAGGATAATTGTAGTTATAAAATTTTAATAGAGATAAAATGTAAAAGAATGTGAGAATTTTAATTAAGGATTATGAAAGAGATATAATTATCAATGACTCCCAAAAAAAAAATTGAAAATTCTCTCTAGAACTTCTTGATTAAACTGAAATAAAATGGGTGGCTAAAAAAACTAAAATACCCTTCTACAAAATTAACAAATACTTAGTTATTATCTAAATTTACTTGTCAATTGCTTGCTTATATTAGCTAATTCCTTAACAGTATTTGTTAAATAGTTAAATAGTTAATTTTGTGACTCTATAATTTTAAGAACATTACTTGTTGATTTTATAATTTTAATTGTTAATGTAATAGCCCCAACTCATCAAGGGCCTCTCCCCCTAAATTTTTACCGTGCTAGACACACCTTTCATTAAGCCCCACACGAGACGACCCCTCCTAAGAGAGTGTCAGGAGATAAGGCTTCCCCATAATAGTATGTGAGATTATTCTCCTATGATAAATATCGCAAGGAGAGCCTCCCCAAATTCGATCCTCCAACTTCTTCTACTTAACAAAGTTAAAATTGAACCTAGTACCACTAAGCGAGGTTCGATCCTCCAACCTCTCCTACTTACGGAAGTTGTGGCTGAACCTAGTACCACTGAGTTGGCTCAATGGTAACAGGTTCAGCTTCAACTTCGTTAAGTAGGAGAAGTTGGAGGATTGAACCTGAAGAGGCTCTCCTCGCAATATTTATCACAGGAGAATAATCTCACATATTATTGTAGGAAAGCTTTGTCTCCCGAAGCTTTTTTAGAAGGGTCGTCCTGTGTGGAGCTTAAGGGGAGGTGTGTTTAACATGACAAAAGTTCAGGGGAAAAGCCCCTTGGTGAGCTGGGGTTGTTACATAAAAGGTAATTTTTATGCAACAATCCTCACCCCCTATCAGGGGTATTTTGGACTACGTTAACCCACCTCACGATAGCAGAAGCCAACTTTCCCTAAAATAATAGTTAATTATTCTTTAACCCATCAAAGAGGTCTTTGGCAAGTGACCCAATGATATCAGACTTAGCCTCAACTTTTTTAAGATGATAGAAGTTAGAGATTTGAGTTTGGGAAGGTTTCAGAAAACCTCTTTAGTGAGGTGAGAACTTAAGTACCACTTTGAGAAAAGCTAATTTCTACTGCAATGAGGTGGGTTGGCCCAATCCAAAAGACTCCCAGTGAGGGATGAGAACTATTACATAACTTAACTCACTGGTACTAGAGTTAATCTCAACTTTCTTAAGATGGTAGAGGTTGGAGGTTTGAGTTTAGAAAGGTTTCAAAAGACCTCTTTGATAGAGTGAGAAATAACCTAAGTACTACCTTGAAAAAAAGCTGGCTTTCGCTGCTGTAAGGTGGATTGGTCCAGTCTAAAAGACCCCTATGGGGGGTGAGAACTGTTACAGTAATTTGTGAATATGAAGTAAATTATTTTTTTACTGTCAATTATTTTTTTGGCATAAGGATATTTTGATCTTTTTAGCCACCCATTTTATTTCAATTCAATCCAAAAATCCTGCAGTGAATTTTTAGTTTTTTGAGAACCCAGTGATAAATATTTTTCTTCCATGATCCTTGATTGAAATTTTCTCTAAAAAGAAAAGGGTTTGATAAATAAATTAAAACTTTCTTCCTTATTTGTTCATTTATTTAAATTGAACTTATTAGAATATCCCATCCTGTCAATTTCTTAAACAGGTCAAAAAAATTAATAGTAGTTCACTAATGAGTAATATTAATCTGATAATTTTATTAAAAAAACATAGTGTTTAAAAGATGTTAAACCGAATTATATAGGCAAAGTATATTTTTATATCTCTAACCTTATATAAAATTTTATATAATCCTTTAATTTTGTAGTGTGTTTTTTCAGTAACAATGTTAGTTTCATTATTAAAAAAATGTACATAAATATATTGATAAAAAAATTCACAAATGTTAACATATTAACGTTTAATTTTCTTAAAAATAATAATTGACACCAAAAATTAACATTGCAACTAATGATATTAGAGCTAAAGGACTTAAAAAAATACTTTTTTAAAATTAAAGGATTAACTTCAAATATTTATAAAATTATAAGACTAAAATATACTTTCCCATTGTATAAGTAATTAGAAATAAATGCTCCCCCATTGTGAAACATTGAATACAATTGGCTAGATTTTTTGTTATTAATACAGTATAACTGTATAAGGGATATTAAAAGAGATTTTCGTTCCCTACTTTTAATTAGCCCATTTAATCATTGCACTTGATTTAACCCTGTTAATCAAAAAAGAGAATTTTGAAACAGGAAACAGCTACATATTTTATTTAATATCATTCTTGATTATCGATTCGAAGTTGAGAACTAATAGCAAAAATCCTAAGAATTTTTAATAACCAAATGCAAAAGGCCAAAAATAAAATGAGACTTGTAAGTAAAGTCAACTCTTGTATGGAGTCTGACAATAAAATCTCTTGAATTATATAAATAACCATCTGCTTTATTAAATATCATAATTTTATTCAATTTTTAGGAATTTTTGTGTTCCTAAATTTTAAAATAAAAAAATTATTTTATTTATTAAAAATAAAAAAACTAAATAACAACTTTTGCTTGAGAAATAATAATTTTTATTTTATAAATCAAAAAAAAAATTAAATAAAAAAATATAACTTGTCAAGTATAATTCCTATTGTCTCAAAATAACATGCCTTACTCACAAATTTTGCTTAAGGGACACAACTTTTATTTTATGACATGCAAAAAGTTAATAAAAAATCCCACCGCTTGTTAGTATATTTCTGTTATTGAAAACAAATCCTTACAATAACAAACCCCAATCACAAAACTTATGTTTCCTAAATAATAATTTTTGTGCTATAATTATAAGAATTGAATAAAACTTACCCTTGTCAATGAAATTAAAATCTTTTTTAATTTAAATTTATTAATACAGAAGTTTTTGAAGACTTTAGTAAAATCATGACATTTTAAAAATTAAACTTGTTATTTTATAAATTTTAAAAAATTTTATTATCATTTTCTCATTCTTTTATGCTAGTCTCATGCCTCATTTTCATAATGAAATTTTTTTATAGAAAAAAAAATTCATTTTATATATCTTAAAAAGTTAAACGTAATATTTACTAACATTTTTCCCTGCCCCCATAAAATTAGATAAGTAATGTAAAAACATTTTAACGCAGTACAGTAACACTACGTTTGGATGAGGAAAAAAAAAAACAAGCGGCCCGGAAACAAAATAAAGGAAAAAAATGAAAACTGAACCCCCGGAAAAAAAGGAAAAAAAATTATTACTCCCTATATTTGGATGAAGAAAATAGAGAAGAAAAAAAATGAACAAATATATCAATGATATTATACCCTCATGTCAATATATATATCTATATATCTATAAGGTCATTCTCTTTATAAAAAGTAAATTGAATATCAATAAAAATAATAAAAAATCAAGTGAATAATTTTTAAACTTCAATTTAATAACATAATAAAATAAATTTGGACGGTACAAATCTGGCAATAAAGAAAAGAGGACCGATGAAGAGGCCCGGCAAGGTTTTATATTTTATGAGGTTGCTTTTCCTCCTCATCTAACAAAATGAAATGGTGAGGTATGAAGAAGACGGAGACGAGCACTGCGTTGTAAGATAGAGCACGCGATTGTTTTTAAGTCAAAACCACTGAAGAATATCTGCCCCTGTAGCTGCCTGGGTGCAAGATGGTAAGACAGAGAGCCCTTAGTTGAAGAATGTGCAAATACGAAGAAGAAGCAAGAGGGAAGAGGCTAGAGACGATTTTTTTTTTTTTTCTCCCGACGCTTTCTTTCCAACTAAAGAGAGAAAGGTGAATTCGATAATATGATCAATATTTTAATTTTAATTACTACGTATTAACTGTTAAGAAAAAATAAGGATTGAGGATAAGAATTAGCGGCTCGCTCCGCTGAATAACTCAAGTGCGAGAGAATTGCTAAACGGCTAAAGCCATCACAAAGCATGGGAAACATTTACGTTAGTCTGTCATTCTCATTTTCATTGCTCCCCACTCTCCCCTAACACGATTATAAAAGAATTTCTCATTTCAATTTGAACGGACAAAAAGAGAGGGAGGAAATGAAAAAGAGAATCACTGCAATATGAAGAATATCAGGAATGTTTCCCCCTCGGCTCCAGAAAGAGCAAGGCTGAGTGTTGTCTCCTGTATGTCTCCCTACAACTCCACAACTTCATCTTCTCTGCATTCTCCCCATCGATCACCATCGTTCCTTTCTTCTTCGTCGGCACTACCCTGCAACAGTTCCTTCTTGGCGACTGCATCAAAACCTGTCCCATCAGTTCTCATTTTCCATTCCAAGAAATTTAAGGGAAATTGAAATTACCTTATCCCACAAATGCGGGTCTGCTTTCTTATGCACCTCAACTCTCTGG